ATGAATGATAAGAGATTCAGCCCTCGCCCTCTGTATGGAAACAGTTGCTCAATCTGAACCTCCATTCAACACCTTATACGTAAGACTGGGCGCCTATCGACTGTCTGAGCTTCAAGATGGACCCAGTTGCAGCTTTAGAGAAGGCTTCCGCTCAGACTCTCTTCCCCTTCAGACTCGAATATGTCTTCCAACAAACAAGTCTGTCTTGAATTGGTAAACCAGAGGGCTCTCTCAAAAAATAGCCAGCTTCTGGTGAACTACCGATAAAACTACCTTCTGATTATCCGACACTGACACCCGGGATAGCCCAGGCACGAGGAGCCGAGTAAGTGCCAAAAGACACAACTAAATGTTTCAGGTATGCTCGTGCTAGGCATGGTCCTTTTGGACGCTTACCTTTCCAACATACACACTACCAGTAAGCCTTCTTCGGATTCCTGGTCACTTTGGTCCCGAAATTCGTCAAAAGGAGAACAAGGGTGGCACGATTACATAGGCAAAATTCGAAAGGCTTGGCAGCTAATCGTTTGTCACGGGAACATTCCATTCCCTACTACTTCCTCCGGTCTCTGGTACTTGAACCCATCCGCAAAAAACAAAATGATGGACAATTTGAAACCTCATAGTCAAGCTGAATTCGTAGAAGATGTTGACAGAGCTGTTACATGACTTCACGTCATGTTTGAAAACATATGGCACGCCTCCGCAGAATAGGCTATGTATAGCAATCATTTGAGGGAGTGGGTGCCCTTGGGAAGGTTGTGACAAATAGTATGAGGGAGAAAAAACTCTGGCACTTCTATAGGATTGGCAGATTTTTAGGTGCTCATAAAGTCATGGCATCGGTCAAGATTTCAACTTCGCTGCACATGGCCAGTCGTAGTTCTCGCTACGATGTACTCTGTCGCCTACGAGTTGTCGATTTCAAACAAACTCGAATCATTCTCTTCCCTGCACCTTTTCAACAACCTCCCACTACGGTCAAGCCCATTCAAAAAAGCCCGAGCCTGTAGTCCGATGAATTTTTCGAGTGTATTCAGGTATGAATAGTAGGGTATAGGCTAGATAACTGACATGGTTTTGTTGGATAGGAATAATTTTATCGAGAAGAACAAGCTGCGTGTAAATGCCAGTAATCTCGTAGATCCGAAATAGGAACGCAATCAAAGCTCTGTCGTTACTTAGCCATATTGACAAGCAGCTCGTACTCCAAAGGACTTCTATGAGCCATTTGAAAATGACAAAATGATTTAGTGCTTCCTCATCTTCTATCTTATAGTTTTCGAGATATTTAGCTTGAGTGAATCAATGGAGGCTATGGTGAAGAATGGGGCAGAAATGGTGAAGAACGCCAAATTCGATGAATTCCAATAATTACGAGGCTTCAAAAAACAATAAGAAAGGGGGTTGCACGAGATTTTGTGTCTGTAACCGTCTGGCTGTCTCTCAAATAAGCATACTATTCATCGGCGTCCTAACGCTCCGTTGTGAATGGTGCAGCGTTAGGAATGCCATCATAAGCGGCATTTTTGTGTGTGTACGCTGGTCAAGCCAGTTCTTAACCTGTCGAAGTCGTTTTTCGACCAACAATGTCCCACATGCTATCCTTAAGGGTCACAGGTTCATCCTAGGAGGAAATTCTAGAAACAATTTCTATCGTGGAGCCTTTAACTATCAGTTCCGATTACGATTAGTCATCCAGTCGTGACTGGATAAGCCTCCGGATTCTTGGCACTGATTTCAGTCTTATGGCTGTTTACATTCTCCTAAGCTTCTCATCTTACGTAACGAACTCTCCTACAAATCTACTATTTCGCCCTTCATCGGCTTCGACATAGCCGTTCTAATGAGTGATGCATAGCCGTTCCACGAAGAGGCGAAGTCGACACTGCCTCAGTGAGGATGGTAATTCCTCTTGACTATCTCAAAGACAAGCGTAAAGGGATGAATACAAAGTTGAGGTTGAAGTTTGTACGGTGGTTCAGGATCCTGGACAGCCTTCAAATAGCCTTTAGGACCAAGAATCGTTGACATCGAAAGCCTTTTCTTCAAAGGGATCAATTAGAGGTTGAAGGCCTTCAGAAAAAGCGCATACCTCATGGCCCTAACCTTATCCTTCTTTTATTCCTCAGAAAGTACGAAAGCGAGTCCAGTCCAGCGAGGGTAGCCGAGTGAATCCATCAATACAAGATCGAGAAAGCAGATTACCCACTGAGTAAGATTAACGACATACCCCCGACTTACTTCCCAGCTATAAAAAGTTCAGACGATCCCACATCATGGAATAATGTTCAGTTGCCCGTGAACCTTCTGTCTATCCCCACCTCTACAAGGAAAAGTGATGTTTACAGAGATTCAAGACGTTATACAGCCTTCATAGGACCTTCCGAGCGGTTGTACGAAAAAAGACTCTTCCATGAACTTCATCAGCAGTCCTTTTTCTAATATCCTCAATCGAGGAAGCCCTCGCCCACGATCCC